CCTAAGATATCTGCTTTTTAAGGACAATACTAAAAAGTGAGTTTCAAATATTCAAATGGCATCAATGAAGTAAAATACTAGTATTAAAATACGCATCTATGCATCCTAAATTCAAGACTGTTTAAGATACCAACAGCAGAGGCCAGGCATGGTGGCTCAAGCCTGTAATCCCACCACTTTGGGAGGCTGAGAAGGGCGGATCACCTGAGGTCAGGAGTTCATGACCAGCCTGGCCAACATGGAGAAATCCCTTCTCTACTAAAAATACAAAAATGAGCCGGGCGTGGTGGCGCATGCCTGTAATCCCAGCTACTCAGAAAGCCGAGACAGGAGAATTGCTTCAACCTGCAAGGCAGAGGTTGCAGTGAGCCAAAATCGCACCACTGCACCCCAGCCTGGGTGACAGAGGCAGACTCTGTCTCAAAAAAAAAAACAAAAGATACCAATGGCAGACATTTCTTCTGCTGCTGCATTTCTATCTCTGTGAGACAAAATTATAAGATTTGGCCAGGTGCAGTGGCTCATGCCTGTAATCCCAGCACTTTGGGAGGCCAAGGCAGGTGAATCAGGAGGTCAAGAGATTGGAGATTTGAGACTATCCTGGCCAACATGGTGAAACCTGGTCTCTACTAAAAATACAAAAATTAGCTGGGTATGATGGCACACGGCTGTAGTCCAGCTACTTGGGAGGCTGAGGCAGGAGAATCACTTGAACCTGGGAGTCGAAGGTTGGAGTGAGCTGAGATTGCGCCACTGCACTCCAGCCTGGCAACAGAGCAAGACTCCCTCTCGGAAAAAAAAAAAAGATTCAATCTGTCTAACGTTTCTTAATTTGATTCCAAACTTTTTAATAAATGGAAAATATTACTTATATCAACTCTAGTGATTTACATATTTAGCTAAACTTTTTAGTCATTAGACCAACTGAGGTTCTAGGAGTTACTCAAAAGTTTTTCTAGTGAAAAATGTCATCATGGTTACAATAAATATAGAACCTTAGAAATCTATGAAAGACTTACTGGTATAGTATAGAAATGATGTGCATTAAATATGACAATGTGTTTTAAAGAAAAAGAAAAGATAGCATGTATCTGCCAAAAAAGTCTACTATGTGGAGATTTGATATCATCACGAAAAACAATTTTTATGCTAAATAGCAAATGGATTTCCCTTGTTTGACCTAGAATTCACTATTTACCTTAGTCCACAATCTTGGCAATCAGAAGGAAATGATGCCTTCCTTCAGACTCTTTCAATTTTATTTAAAAAACAAAAACAGCTAAGATAAATACAGAGCAAGAAAAGGTTCCATAACCTACTTACTTGGCTTAAATATGACCCTTAATTCAGTTCCAACCTACAGGGTTCAATCAAATCCTTAACCCACTGTCTCTATAAAACACAACCATAGTGAACTGGCACTTTTACTTTATATATCACAACTTGTAACATCAAGTAAAGATGAAGCTAGACATCCTGGCTTTAAATGACAAACAAGATTGGGCATGAGAGTTATTATTACACTTAACAATATAAACATTTTTATTGTCATAAAAATTCCTGCTTTCTTAAAGCAAAGATATATCAAATACTATACACAGAACAAAGTAACCTGAACTTAATCAAAATTAAAGGATGGAAATATCTGTTAAGATTTATTACTAAGATTCCTAAAACTGGTTCAATTATAAATAATAACACTAAATATACAGTAACCAAGTTTCTGAAATGATCTCTCAGTTGTTTCATATTTTCATATAAAAAGCCAACCTATAAACCACAGGTTTATATGCACACAGCCCTTGGTCATGTAAAATTGGGATATAAAACTGGAAGACATTTTTTCCTCCTATTGATCATTCTAAGCATTACAATCCATTCAAAATTCTAAAATTATAATCATGTCTCAGGAAAACATAAACAGAACATGAAAAGAGGTATTTATATGAGCTGTCAGCCCTTTTTCTGCCATCTGTATTTGGCTACTTTCCTGGGTATTAGTTCCTTTCCCAGAAGGTAGGCAGAAGAAACAGAAATACTTTGATGCCTTTGGTTTGGAGAAAAAAAATTACTGTCTGGCTTATTTGAATACTTGAAATAGCCAAGATACTCTATTTAATCCCTTACCTTGGACTGCTGAAAAGCAATGATGTAAGCTGGAATCCACCTTTTCTAGTTTTATTACAAATTTTAGACAATATTTTACTTAAGATTTTAAAGATCTAAGGCCGAAAGCCGTGGCTCACGCCTATAATCCCAGCACTTTGGTAGGCCGAGGTGGGTGGATCGCAAGGTCAAGAGATCAAGACCATCCTGGTCAACATGGTGAAACCCCATCTCTACTAAAAATACAAAAATTAGCTGGGCATGGTCGCGCGTGCCTGTAGTTTCAGCTACTCGGGAGGCTGAAACAGGAGAATTGCTTGAACCAAGGAGACGGAGGTTGCGGTGAGCTGAGATCGTGCCACTGCACTCCAGCCTGGGTAACAAGAGCAAAAACTCCATCTAAAAAAAAAAAAAAAAAAAAAAAGATTTTAAAGATCTAAATATTCAACTTAAATACACGTGGGTATATATAATCAACAATCACAGTTTAAAAGGTAGGCCATAGTATTATGAGAAATCATTTGTGCTATATTCACTAATGATACTGACTTTAAGTTTTCTTTTAACTAAGATTCAATACAGTACCTTTAAAAAGTTTATTATTCAAAAGATCAAGTTACAAAGGAAAAAAAGAGACTAATGTTTATTCAATGTAAATAAGTATAATCTACATAAAATTCCATATGCTCAATAAATAAAATTACAAAGGTGAAAATTATGATAATGAACTTCAATTAGCTCAATATTAAGTAGAACAATATAATTGTCACTCTGGTATACAAATGAACTTCATTATCCATTACTGGACATTTACTCAAAGAGTTATCAGGGATAGGGAATATATTTTTCTGGAAAGCTCATTATGTAATACGTATCTGTTTACTTGCAATGTGAAGTGCTTTAGAAAATGGTACATTTATCTTCAAAGTTAGCAAATTTACTCTTTGTATTTTTAGCATTATGTCATTATGAGTACTTACAATTTTGAATAAGACTCTTTCATTACTAGTTAGAAAATGTTCCTGCCAAGACTGACAAATACTTAAGTCATATAATATTTTCCATAAAGAGAAAAAACTACTTATTTAGTATGATTGGGTGCAACAGGTATATAGAAATCAAATTAAGATAAATTGAAAATTAGAAAAATTAAAATTGCAGTTTGTTTTAGTAACTAGTAACAATGAATAAATAAAGTAATATAAAGTCTTAACATTAAATTAAGCAATGTTAATGGAAATAATAAAAAGCCAGTTGTTCAGGTAGCATTAAAATCTATACATAAAGCACAAAACAATGAACGCTCAAGTAGGATTTTCCTCAGAACATAAATAAGACTTCTAAAATCTGTTATATGCTGAAGTTTTAAATGGCTAAGAAAAATTGTCAAATAGATTTATCAAAATCTCTAAAGTACACTTCTTTAAAATCCAAACCAAAAAATTTTAAAAGCAGATTAAAATTTAACACTAGAACTTTATAATATAATTAGGCTTGTTAAACTGAACCACTAAAAAGTCATGTGGCCACTTGTAATTACTAAACTCCCCTGACGAAAGTTTATACTACTATTTCTAAGTAGATAATTTTACCACACATTTTTAAGGAAACTCACTAATAGTAACCAAGTAAAAAATAAAAAAATAAAAGAGGAAAATAATAAAAGTTAATCACAGTTCAACTTAGACAACAGCTTTTCGGAAAGGGAAAAAAGAGTATGCTGGCAGGTGTCTGCAAGGAGGTAGGTAATACAATGGAATCAGTTTTCATTCTGCAGAACAACCATGAGACTTGCTGCAATGTCAGCTCCAAGCACACACTGAGGGACTCCAGAAAATACTCATTGATCATGCAGCACTTTATAATGCGCATAGGCTTTTTTCTCCTGCTAACCCCGCCTAGCTTCCCTTTGCAGCTTCTTCTCCCCAGCCCTCTCCCCACAATAAAATAATCTTCCTAAAGACGTGAAATAGTTAATAAATTATCTCAGCAGTCTAAGTATCAGGAATACCACTCACCACCATAAAGCCTCTTTATCTGAATTAGACAGTTTTTATTTAATGAGGGTAAAAAAGAAATACCCTACACAACCTAACAGATAAGAATATGAGATTTAAATACCTCTATCTATAAATACAAATTTCTGATAGTATTCAACACTCAATGCCAAAAGCAATTCTAGTTTCACTTGGACATGTATTTCCTTGGACTACTTTATACTCGAATAGGATCTTATAAAATTAATACAATCAGAAAAAAAGAAAATATAATTTAAAATGTTCATGATTCAAATTACAGGATTTTTTTATTGACAGCTCTCTAGCATCAGTGCCCTAAATGTAAGGGTTTTAAAATGTTTAATTTAATAATTTGTTTTATAATAATCAAAGTCACATGAAAAACCTAGGACCAGTGTGTACCAGCTAAATTAAGAAATCAGATTGATATAAACATGCTTAGTTTAAAGCTAAAATAACCAGCTGTTTTTAATAGTTAACTGCAGCAAAGCTTTAGGCTTAGATATGTAAATGAATTCTAAGACATATGATACTAAACCTACTCAAAGCTGCTTTGCAGACCCCACCTTCTAATGAGTTAATCTAAAGGTCACCACCAGCACAAGGCTTTTTATTAAGTCTGAGTCTCTTCTTTTTCCCCAGCAAACATACAATTTATGAAACATGAAGTTTAAACAAAATAATTATAGACGTATATAGTAATCATGTGAACCAGACTGACACATTCTCACACGGAATAGGTCTGACGGTGTCTTGCTTTTATGCTCTGCCTCTTTTTCTCTCTCCTCTAATCTATTCATCTGTAAAATAATTCCGGCAGATAAGATTCCTTTGTTCAGATTTCAACTTTCATTTCACTTACAAACCTAGCCCTACCTCAAGAATGTCTTCTAGAACATATGCTTCCATTTCAGCCGCTGTCTCCACCATGTTTTATCAAACTGCCATGTTTCTTACTGCACTATGATTAGATCATTGCCAGCAGGAACACTCCTCTGTGTCAGCAAGGGAACAGGAAATGGAATGTTCTATTACATGCCTAAAGCAGCTTAGCTGTTCACTAGCCAGGCATCTACCAAAAGAGCAGGGGGTGACTCACTGTGTATTTTTTAAAGATACAGAAGCTCTATTCCAAAGCAAACTTCTGTCAAGTAATTTCAACAGACAAAATAAAAGTCTCTTATTTTGTCACTTCAATTTTTAAAATCCCAGAATTTCAGGAAAAAACCAACATATTTTTAAAAAGCTATTTAACACGTCTGGCTTCCTGGTTGAACAAAAGAGGTTGAAGTGGGTTACGCAGCAATTTATCCTTAGTAAAGCCTTGTAGTGAGCTTAATGGCTGTATTAAAGACGCAGAGGAGGAGGCATGATACTGCCAAGTTAGAAATTTGCTACATCAGGCAAATGTATTATAAAATATACATATTACAGTTGACTTCAGGGTATCAAAAAATAATTATCCTAATGTATATTTTTTGATAGTAAATTGGTTTTTATTAACTAATCTGTTTCCAAATACCTACAAGAACCAGGGTAACATGGAACTGATTTACAATTACTGAAGCAAGATTTAACATTTAATATATGCATTTTCTAGTAGTGCCTTCATTTACTAACCAAAGAAATGGCCTGTTTTTTCTCTTATAATAAATACTCTGAAAGTGTAAAATATCCCAGATAAATTAAATTTAGAGACACTAAATCTGGATCATCAAACAGGAAATAAAGTGAGTGACTTGACAGAAGAACCAATTTATATTAAATTCATTCCTGTAATTGATCTGCCATTTAGTAAAATTTGTTAAGATTGTCAGATTTCTTCCTTATGCAATCTTGAATATGAAAAATTCACTGAAAAAGGAACAATGGGCCGGGCACAGTGGTTCACACCTGTAATCCCAGCACTCTGGGAGGCCAAGGTGGGCAGATCATTTGAGGCCAGGAGTTGGATCGAGATCAGCCTGGCCAACATGGTGAAACCCCATCTCAACTAAAAATACAAAAATTAGCCGGGCATGTTAGAGCGTGCCTATAATACCAGCTACTCAGGTGGCTAGGCAGCAGAATCACTTGAAACCGGGAGGTGGAGTTGTATTACTGCACTCTAGCCTGGGCAACAGAGTGAGACTTTCTCAAAAAACAAAAAGAACAATGTTTTATGCTCTAAACTGAGAAAAGTGATGTGATAATATGCATGACATTGCTGGTATTATCTCTCAAAGTGATGTCATGTTTTAGTGGAGATTTTGGAGTACTCTTGAGCCTCAATTTATTAATCTATAAAATGGGACACTATTCACTCAACTTGAAATATCAGAAACTGCTCTAGTTGCAGTCAATAGACAGATACGGTTTCTTAACAGTTTATATCAAGATTGTATCCTACAAAGTACCTACTACAGTTTCTGATATTTAGGAGATACCCATAGTATGCCAAGCAATACGTTTTTTTTAAATGAACATACTATTTATTCCTCATAACCACCCAGCTAATCCATGCCATAATTTTGTTTGAGATGGAGTCTCACTATGTCACCCAGGCTAGAGTGCAGTGGTGTGTTCTCGGCTCACGGCAACCTCTGACTCCTGGGTTCAAACGATTCTCCTGCCTCAGCCTCCTGAGCAGCTGGGATTATAGACATGTGCCACCATGCCCAGCTAATTTTTGTATTTTTAGTAAAGACAGGTTTCACCATGTTGGCCAGGATGGTGAACTCCTGATGGCCTCAATCTCCTAATCTTGTGATCCACCCACCTCGGCCTCCCAAAGTGCTGGGATTACAGGAGCCACCGCACCTGGCCACTATGTCATAATTTTTAAAGCACGTTTTGCTTCCCATATGCTATTCTAAATGTTTTTTATATGTTAACTCACTTAATTTTCACAGTCATCCTGAAGTGTTATTATCCTCCCCATTTTATATATGTGGAAATGGGACAAAAAGAGGTTAAGTAACTTGCCAAATTATTTCAAGCTAAGCTAATTAAGTTAAAGAGCTAAGATCTGAGTCTGGGCAATTTGTTCCAGAGTCCATATCCAGAATCATCAACTGTGTTTCTTCCATGTGATAATCTTATTTTATGGATAAGTGAACCAAGTATCAGACAGGGCACACAGTTACATGGCAGAGTGAAATCCAGATGCAAATCCAGAACTGATTCCAAAGGCTATGAGGAATTAACGGCAAACAAATGACACTGTTTTACCTCAGACCAGAGCTAATGTTTACATTTAGGTATGGGTATGTCTGGCATTTGAAGCCTTCTCAAAGTAATTTCCACTGTTGCAACCTGGCTTAAACAGAAACTACAAACTGGCTTTTGTTATTTCTTGCCTTCCAGGTCAATTTTTTCTATGCTTCAAATAAACTGCTCCATCTTTAGACTTAAGAGAAGTCATCAACATAGTTTCCCTTTCTCAAATTTTCCTCCAATGTTAGCAAGCAATGACAGGTTTGAGTTCAAGGAACTCATGTTGTAACACTCCTTTTCCACAAGCCAAGAATAGGCCTTCCAAATCCTTTAACTGACAATTTATTATCTGTCTCCCTTACAGACTAGAAAAAAGCAGGCTACACTTGAAAGTAGGCAACACTTTATTCACCAGTGCATACGTAGAGCCAGCACTCTCTGCATCCAAGTGATTCTCATGCTTCAGCCTCTCAAGTAGCTGAGATTATAGCGTGTGCCACCAGGCGCAGCTAATTTTTTGTATTTTTAGTAGAGATGGAGTTTCACCATGTTGGTCAGGCTGGTCTAGAATTTCTTACCTTGTGATTTGCCTGCCTCAGCCTCCCAAAGTGCTGGGATTACAGGTGTGAACCACCACGCCCGCCTGGACCAATAGTAGTAATTTCTAATGACAAAAACATTTGTTCTTTTGCTGTAGGTCACTGAAATAAGATATTAGAAGTACTGAATATAAAGAGAATATAAATTTCAGATTTTCTGTAATTATTTGTTATATAGCAAAATAATGTATCCCCTTTACTTCTGTTTTTTAGTTCTTTTCATCTATATGATTACCTATGCCACCACAGGATACCCTGGGCAAAAGGGTATAAAGAGAAATTTACATGTTTGTCTAAAACCTGTCATCCTAAAAATAAACCATCTTCCAGTTCAACCTAATTTTATTTATAATTTTTTTTCAGATGAAATCTCGCTCTGCACTCCAGATTAGAGTGCAGTGGTGCAAACTCATCTCACTGCAACCTATGCTTCCTGAGTTCCAGTGATTCTCCTGCCTCAGCCTCTTGAGTAGCTGTGATTACAGATTCCCACCACCATGCCTGGCTAATTTTTCTATTTTTAGTGGAGATGGGGTTTCACCACATTGGCCAGGCTGTTCTCGAACTCCTGACCTCAAGTAATCTGCCTGCCTTGGCCTCCAAAAGTGCTAGGATTACAGGCATCAAAAGTGCTGGGATTACAGGCATGAGCCACAGCGTATAGCCTCAACCTAATTTTATAGGCAAGAAAATTGTCTTCCCATTTATCTAAAATGTACTTCAATGGCACAAGATCTTTCATTATTTTGCCAACAGCAAAAGTAATAAAATGTAAATAGCAATTAACATATTAAGTTACACAAACAAATGGAAACCAACACATAAAAAAATTTACATTAAAGAAAATATTGACTAAAAATGAGATTCAAATATCCAAAGAGTGAAACCTCTCAATAAAAAGAAAGTACAAAAAAGCTCAGCGAACACCTAGATTGCATGAAATAATCTTCTGAAATTGACAATTTTATTTAGGGCCAGCATTGGTTTCCTTGAAGAAAGAAAAAGAAAAACAAAACAAAAAATATGTATAAATGTGTTGACAAGCAAGCAACTCTGTTTTGCACGAGTTAAAACTTTGTTGATGTTTGTTCCCTTCAGGTGAAACTTTAATAAAAAATTCCTTATATAGGAGTTTTGTTCCCACCTTTTTTTTTTTTTTTTTTTTTTTTTAGGAAATGGCGAGGCTTCAAAACCCACATATTCAAAAAACAAGAATAGTCAACTGGTGATAGGAAAAATTTAATGATTTTGCCCACTCACATAAACTATTAGGAAAAAAACTAAAAGAATTTTACCTCTTTTTCTTTTTTGTGAGACAGAGTCTTACTCTGTCACCAGGTACCAGGCTGGAATGCAGTGGCACAATCTTGGCTCATTGCAACCTCCGCCTCCCAGGTTCAAGCAATTCTCTGCCTCAGCCTCCCAAGTAGCTGGGACTACAGCCCCACGCCACCACGCCCAGCTAATTTTTGTATTTTTAGTAGAGACGGGGTTTCACCATGTTGGCCAGGATGGTCTCGATCTCTTGATACCTCTTGAAATTATTAAATTTAGTCATCATTTTATAGTATCATATATTTTTTTCCTTTCTACCGTGTAAATTAGAGTTCAGCATAAGTATGAAGCCCAAGAGTGAAAGTATCTAGACCAAGTATAAGTGAAAGATGTTAAAGACTTAAACAAAATGTAAATTAAAAAGCTAATGCAATTTGGTAAGATTTCTGAAAGTCCATAAATCATTAAAACAATACATTCCCATGATTTTACCTTTTATTTATCCTAAACTACTCATACTATAAAACTGAGGAATCTAGATAAATGTCTAATGTAGCAAAAAATAAATAAAAAGTAATATTCTTTTTATTACCACTATAGTTTTATCAACTATGATTTTTATATAAAAGTAATACATGTACATGAAAGGCATTCAGAGTTTAAAAGAGAAAAGTAAACCTACCTCTCACCAAACCATCCTAGTAGGCACAACCAGTTATTGTATTCTTCCAGAAATAACCTACATATTTCAAGCACATCTTGGTATAACATTTTTTATACAGATGGATGCTATTATGCATACTTTCTGTATCCCCATTTTAATATTTAATAAGGCATAATTGTTTCAGATTAGTACATAAAGATCTATCTTTGATTTCTGATAGCTGTTCAAATTTTCATTGAATTGCATCATGTATTTAACTAGTCCACTACTGACAGGCATTTACATTGTTTCTAAGGGTTCATAGCATTGTATTTAAAATTTTAAACTGCCTTCTAAAAAAGTTGAGCTAATTTATACTGAAAGTGAATGAGACTGCCTGCTTCCATACAAATATAAAGTGTTACTGACATGACTCTATTAAAAATCCAGATCTGTAATCAACATGAGTTTTAAACCACGTATCCAGATTTATCCTTAGTTCTTCATCATTTCTACTTTTCAAGAATCACAAAGTTACACCTCCTTTCATCTAACTTCCGCCCCTATCAAAAAAAAATCACATAAATTCATTCTCTGACAATTAAGAACTTCAACTGATTATTAAAAGAGAGAGAGAGAAAGAAAGAAGAAAGGAAGGGGGAGGGTAGGGGAGGGGTGAGGAGAGGAAAAGGAAAAGAAAGAAGGAAAGACGAAAGAGAGATAGAGAGAGAGAGAGAGAGAGAGAGAGAGAGAGAGAGAGAGAAGGGAAAAAAACCCCAACCACAATGAAGAGTCTGTATATATATAGCTGGAGAAGAATGAGGAGTAGAATGATCTATACTTTAAAAAAAATCTACTTCTGATAAAACACAAATTCTCTCCAATATTTAATGAGTTCTTTAACCTGGGAGTAAGTTTTAAAAAGATGCCTCTGCCAAAATTTAGTATTTTAAAAACCCCAAATTGTTTGGGAAATATTTGGGTATATTTTCACTAAATAAAATACTGCTGGATACATTTATTTCTTTGCCTTCTACATTTATGTTCAAATTACTCATTTTTAAAGCATGAAATTCTAAAGTAATCCATCATATTTAAGAAATCTAATGTACAAGAATACAGGACCACACATAAACAATTTTTATGAACACAAAGAGCACAAAACAGTTTGAACCTCAGTTTCTTGGCATAGATTCTAGGTCTAACTTTGATGATAACATTTTTAAATGAAAATGATTAAACCTTCACCAGAACTGTCAAAATAAGACAGTTGCCGGGCGCGGTGGCTCAAGCCTGTAATTCCAGCACTTTGGGAGGCCCAGGCAGGTGGATCACGAGGTCAAGAGATCAATACCATCCTGGTTAACATGGTGAAACCCCGTCTCTACTAAAAATACAAAAAATTAGCTGGGAATGATGGCGCGTGCCTATAATCCCAGCTACTCAGGAGGCTGAGGCAGGAGAATTGCCTGAACCCAGGAGGCGGAGGTTGCGGTGAGCCGAGATCGCGCCATTGCACTACAGCCTGGGTAACAAGAGCGAAACTCTGTCTCAAAAAAAAAAAAAAAAAAAAAAAGAGAGTCAAACATGCTTCGAGAAATGTGGAAGAATGTCTAAAGGATATATGTAAGAAAGGATTAAGTTACGGACACACAAAATTGTAACATTAGCAATAATATAATGCAATGTAGTATCCAGTACTATATTCTAAATATGAGGAAGGGTAGGGAGGGTATGTACTATTTTGTGATATTTAAATAACTTTTTCTTTTTTTTTTTTTTTTGCCTAAACAATAATTTTCTCAAGGCTCATACTATAAAAAGTCCCAGAAAAGTTTTTTCGTATCATCCCCATTGGCATTTTGATCACTCACTTAAACAAACACTTACTGAGGGCTTATTAGGAGGCAGGGTTTATACTACATACACTGGATATAGACAGCAAATAAAATTAGTCCACTTCTAAGAGGCTAAAACTCAATCCTGAGTCTTGACAATGTTTAATACTAAAATTTCAATGATTTTTTTCTCTAATTAGTCCCCTTCCCATTCTTCTCTAACCCAACTAATAAATAAAATCTGAAATTCAACAGCTAATAAACAAAATCTGAAATTCAACTAAGTACAGAAGAGAATTATATTTAGATACAAAACATTTCATCCAGATGTATCCTATATACAGAATGAAATACAAGCATAGTCTTGTCTAACATAAGTAATGTACTAAACAAAGTAAAAAACAAAGCAATGGTCCCTCTTTTCACATCCCCAGTAATAGTCGTGTCTGTTGGACACTTGCATTTGTTGTCTCTACCCATGGTGGGTCACACCATGCATTCATTCTTTTCCCAGTATTTCACAATAGGTTCTATGTACACAAAACTGATAAAATATTTATTGTTTACAGGTCACAATCAACCCTCCCACTTGTCTGAAATGGATATTTTCAAATAAAAATAAAAACAAGTGCATCCATAATAGAAATTACTTATTTCAATATTTTTGTTTTTAAATAGGTTAAATCTATTGATGATACAGCATTTTCAATCTTGTCAGCAACCTATCTGTCAGAGGCTCAAAAGAGAATCACATCTACCAACAGAAAGAAATACCTATCTCTCTCTCTCACACACACACACACACACACACACACACACACACAAAATGAGGGTCTAGGGGACCTAACGATAAAAATTTAAATTACAAGAAAAAGCTCAAATCCAAAGACAATGTTTTTGAGCCACCAGTTTCTACCACTCTGGGGGAATGGATAAACAGTTCCAAGTTAACTCCAGATAGCATCAAGGGCAAGGAAAATAATCAGGAAGTAAAAACTACCCAAGTAACTATGGAATCCCATCGCTATCACTGGCTCTCCTCCAGTTCCTTGATGGTCTGGGGTCCCTAACAAGCTCCAATCAGTCTGGTCTCAAGATATATGTTATCATTTTGCTATTTCCAGCCTAATCTATTCATAACAAACCTTGAATGGTTTGACTGCAAGCAATTCTTTAAAGATATTAACTCTTGCAATTATTTAAAGTATCAAACAACAGCCTGTGATATCATGAAATATGCATCTGGTCTCTGATCTTAGACCAGTTTCTTGGCATACATTCCTAAAATCCTTGGAATCTTCAAAGTGGTTAAGGGTCTTCCTGTATGCTAAGATTTGACTGAAGACTGACAGGCCCTAGGGTAGCTTCAGGATAAGGGTTGGTTAGCAGAAAGACCAAGGGAAAATTAAATGGTTGGGATTTTTCAGCCCTGCCTCCATCCTCCAAAAAAAGGAAACTGAAAGTGAAATCGATTCCCAATTGTCAATAGTTTAATCAATCATGCCGATATAATAAAGTCTCCATAAAAGCCCAAAAGGACAGGGTTTAATGGGCTTCCAGAGAGCTGAACACAGTAGAAGTTACTGAAGGGTAGCATGCCCAGAGAGGGCAGAATTTCCATGCCTCTTGTCCCATACCTTACCCTATGCATCTCTTCATCTGTATCCTTTGTAATATCTTTATGAAGTGGTAAACACAAGTGTTTCCTTGAGTTCTGTGAGCCACTCAGTAAATTAATCAAACTCAAGAAAGGAATCATGAGAACCCTGATGTACAGTCAGTGGGTCAGAAGCACAGGTATAACAACCTGGGGCTTGTAATTGGCACCTGAAGTGGGAGACAGTCTTGTAGAACTGGGCTCTCAATCAATCTGTGGGATTGGACACTATCTCCAGGTAAATAATGTCAGAATATAATTGATTCAGAGGACACCCAGCTGGTGTCTGTGACAGAAGCTCTACTTGCTTGGTGTATAAAGAAAAAAACTCACAAATTTCCAGTCACAGAAGTATTTTCTGTTGTGAGAATATGAGTAACTGAGTT